GGGGGGGGGGGGGGCAGCTGGTGCCTGTGGGGCATCCAGGCTGCCCCCCGGCTCCTGGAGCGCAGGGAGGCCAGCCGCACACTGAACGGGGGATGACACCCCACCGCTTGCGCCCCAGGACTCACCGGTGGGCTCCAATCCCAACCGATCCAGCTGGAGACCGCAGTCACTTTGCTTTGAGGAAGGTGTGGAGGGAGAGCTGTCCCCTGGCCAGGCTGCCATCTGCAGCCGTCTCCGCCTTCACCTGGCCAGGCGGGCGGGGGGCATCCTCGAGGGCGGCACCCCGCTTCCGCTTGGAGACCTGGGGGCAGGGTCCAAGGATGGAGGAAAAAGCCAGTGCCCTGCGCTCGTGGGACCATGGAGGCAAGGAGTCCCTCAAAACAGCCAGGGCAAACCCTGCCACACAGCTACGTGGCACAAAGGCCCTACCACCCCCAGGGGGGGAGGAGTTGCCCCTGCCCCTGACCCCACAGGGGGTCCTGGGTCTGCCCCCGAGTGGGAGAGCCAGCCCCCAGCCAGGGACCTCTGGGTTTCCCAGTACCGGCAACATCGCTGGCACCCCCCAGTGCCCCCCACAAGGGGAGAAAATCCCCTCCTGGCCCCACCTGTGACCCCCAGGTGTGGAGCAAAGTGCTCCAGGAGACTGAACTCAAGTGCCCCAGGGGGAGGGCAGGAGCCCATCAAGGTCTGAGACCCTGGGGCAGAAGCAGAGATGCCAAGGGGATCCCCACAGACAGGTTGTGCCCTGCACACGGGGGAAAGAAGAGACTCCCCCAGCTCTACCCGCGCAGGGCCGGGCTGAGATGCGCCGCGCTGCGGTCCCAGACACTGGCTGTGCCCGCGCCGAGGTCCTCACCATGCGGGGTCGCTTCTCCTCGTGGCTCTGCCTCTCACACGCCTTCAGCACCTGCAGGGAGACCAGGGCTGAGCCTGCTGGCCGGGGAGGGGAGCCTGCTGGCCCCCACGGCTGCGGCGTGCAGAGCAGGAGACCCCAAGCATGGAAGGGACACGCACGGCTGGGCACTCTGCCCCTAGGTACCTTCTTCATGGCCGTGGAGACAGCGGCTGCCTGGAAATCAGCCTTTGTCACCCACCGGGACGCCGGCAGCTCCGGCTCCTCCTCCCGCTTCACCGGTGCCACGGCCCCGGGGCCGTCGAGGAGCAGGGAGTACACCACGTACGTCTGGTGGATGTGGGAGAAGACGTGGACGACCTGGGATGCAGAGGGGGAAAGGGGCGTTAGCATCCGCGGGGCAGGGGGGGTGGGGAGGGAGGAACCATGAGTGAGCCGAGTTGTGTCTGTTCTCAGCCTCGGGGCAACGAGTGGCAGGACCTGGCTGAGGGACGCGGGGCACTGGGGCTGAACAGGGAACCCAGGAACCCTATAATCAGGGCAGTGGAGGATGGAGCAGGTGCAAAAGACCCCACCAGGCTTTCGAAAAATCGGCCAACACACCGTGCCAGGAAGCCCACTGGCAACCTGTCATGACTGCTACCCCACTCCCAGTGCTGCAGGGCCCTGGGGCAAGGTCCCATCTGTCCAGACACATGTGGCAGCTGCCCCCAGTGGTCGGAGTGGCCAGGCCCATAGGGCAGGGCCCTGACCCCCATACGGCCCGACTCACCTCCCCGACGTGCCACAGGCGCCCTGCTGCAATGGCCGTGCCCGTCTGGGCCTGGACGTGCCCTGCCAGCGCCTCCCTCTGCTGCTTCTCCTTCAGCCCCGGGGCCACGAGCAGGCTGGGGAACTCCCAGAGCCCCGCCAGCAAGCCTGGGGGAGACGGGTCTCAGCACCCGAGACGGACGCCCCGTGGCTGCCAGCGGGAACCGAGAGCCTGAACTCGGTGCCTGTTTCTGTTGCTCTCTGCTGGACTCGTTAATTCGCCCACCTCCTCCTCAAAGCACAAGGCCCCAGAGCAGTCCCAGTGCAGCAGGCACTGAACTGAGAGGAAAAGACATCTCCCTGCGCTCGTGGGGACGCCGCCCGGGGTCCTGCTGGCCTGCCTTGCAATGAGGAAGGGGCTTTGTTTCTCTGGAGAAAGGAGCCGCCCCCCTTCAGCTCCCACCATCGCCGGGGCCCTCGGAGCCCGGTACCTGAGCCGGGTCTCTGCACAAGCAGGAACTCCGGCTCCCCGCAGCGGCCGCTCCTCTCCAGCACGCACGTGGCCGTCCGCTCCGCCCGGGGCTGCTTCTTGGCGGCTTTCCTGGGGAAGTTGGCCACGCCGAGGCTGCCGTCCCATGGCTCCGAGGCAGGGGGGCACAAGGGGCAGCTCCCCAAGGCGCCGGCGGCTGCAGACATGAGAGCAGCCCGTGACCCCCGCACCGCTCCCCTGCTGGCGAGCACCCGTCACCCACTGTCAGTGCATCCTGCTCTGGCAGCCGACAATTTGGACCCCAGACGGGGACCTCGGCCAGCCTGGGCAGAGACTGCGGGGTGAGACCCCGCCGAGGCTGCCCTGCCTCCTCCCACCGTGCCCAGAGCTCGCTGCCGGGCACCACTGCCCCTCCCAGCGCAACCCCAGCGCTCTGCCCAGGGAAACCCCCCTCTACGAGACCCTGAAGCTGCCCCATTGTCCTGCCTGGCTCCAGCACACGGCTGGTCCCTGCGAGACCACTGCCCCCCGCCCCAGATAGGACCCTGCAGAGGGTGAGCAAAGGGGCACAAGCAGTTTCCTCCCCATGGGGCGGCCACGTTCCCGCACCTACCACACTCCTCGATGTCAGGCCCCGGGGGGCAGCTGGAGGGGGCTTTTCCCAGCAGTCTCCTGGAGGCAACTTCCAGCTCCTTCTCCACCTGTGCACGGAGACGGGGGTCAGCGACGGGGCGGTGGGTCCAATTGTCCCAGCTCCCCGCCCCCACAGAGCCTGGCAGCTCCATGGGGAGTGTGGTGTGGGCAGCCCCCTGCCATCATGCCCTGCAACGGCGTGACCCTGGCTTAAAGCACAACGGGCTTGCCCCGATGGGAATGGGCCAGGGCACTGGTGCTGGCTCCAGGGCCCAATCCAGTCCACAGACAGGCCTGCAAGGGATGAGACATGCAGATGCTGCCCTGGGGATGACGCAGCCCCAGGGTGAGATTGCCCAGCCCCTGCAGCCATTCCCCGCAGGCATCGGTCCCTGCTGCTGACGGGGGCCCCGAGCCCGGCAGGAAGGCAGGTCTGTGGTCGTGGCATCACAGGGCCGGAGGGGACCTCAGGCCTCAGCAAGTCGCAGCTCCGTTAGGCAGGGAGGGAAACAAAGACCCCACAAGGCAAAGGGACTTGCCCAGGGCCACGAAGGAAGCCCGTGGCAGAGCTGCCCCCTCGACCCCTGGGCCACGCGCAAGCCCGAATCCTCTGGCCAGGCCCAGACCTACCCTGCGCTGTGCCCAGCAGTGCGGCCGCACGGGGCACTCCGTGCACAGCGGGGACTTGGGAGAGCACACGGTCGCCCCCAGCTCCATCAGCGCCTGGTTGAAGTCGCCGGGCCGGGCCCGATCCACCAGCGCGTGGGCCAGGCCCCTGCAAGGGAATGGCAGCAGGAGTGGGTGTGGGTGGCCTGGTAAAGGAGCGAGCGACATGGACAAGAGCAGCCCGCCTGCTCTACGAAGGCAGAGCAGAGCCCGCCCCTGCCCCAGCCATCCCCAGATCAGAGGGGGCCTGAGACCCCCTACAAGCCCCACCTCAGTCACCCCGACCAGGCTGGTGCATTTGTGCTGGGGCAGGAGCCAGCACCGTGCCGTCCCATATGCCCCCCATCTCCCCTCGCCTCTTTGACCGAGGTGCAGCTACTACCAGAGGTGCTCGGTGACAGGCGGGCTGCTGGCGTCGGCGCCGAGGCATCGTAGGCGGCACAGGACCCGCGTCACGTTCCCGTCCACCACGCCCGTGGCCTGGCGCAACACAGACGGGCAGCGGTTACCGGGCAGGAGCGCGCAGGCTGGGAGGGCAGCTGGCCTGGCCTGCGCCCCTCTGGCATGAGGAGCAAGGCCAGGCAACAAGGCCAGGCTGGGGCTGGGCACAGACACCCCAGACCCAGGCTGCGGCACGAGGCCTCCTCTCGACACCCGGTGCCCCTGGGAGAGCCTGGCTGGTCCTCAGATGTTGCACCCAACAGAACGGCCTGGGCACCAGGGCGGGCAACCGGGACGTGCCAGGTCTCAATGAGGAGCTGGTGCCACTTGGGGTAGAACCAGAACAGCCGCCCATGGGGCCCCAATCCCCAGCTGCAGTTGCACCTGGGCAACACTCTCATCACCTGCCCATAGGAGATGGAGGCGATGGCGCCTGCTGTGTATCTCCCCACTCCCGGCAGCAGCTTCTGCAGCTCCTCAGCCGTCCGGGGCATCCGACCTGCCAGCTCGGAAACCACCTGGGGGCAGGAGGGAATCGGCGAGACAGCAGGGCAGGACACCCGACTCGAGGAGGCGGCAACTGAGAGCCCAGCTGGAGCTCCCGGTGACCCCCCGGTGACAGAGCAAAGGGACCGCGGTGCTGGGCTTCCCCTGGGAGCTGCTGGCAGGAGGAAACCCCCCCCACCCCAGGTACCTTGCGAGCTCCTTCCTGCAGCCGCTTCCCCCGCGAGTAGTAGCCGAGGCCGGCCCACAGCGCGTTCACTTCCTGTCCCAAAAGAGCGCGAGGCATTACGGGGCTGAGAGACCAAGAGCAGCACTCGTACCCGCTCCTCCAGGACTCACCTCCAGCGATGCGTCGGCGAGCGCCTGCAGCGTCGGCCATTTCTGCGGGCAAAGGAAGCAGGGGGCTGTTAGCGGGGGACAGCTGGGCAGGGGCTGGGCAGGGGTCCCCGGGGCAGGCGGGCAGCTCACCTGCATCCAGCGGGTGTAGTAGTCCATCACTGTGGCCACTTGCGTCTGCTGCAGCATGACCTCTGACACCCACACTGCAGGCAGAGGAAGCAACACCATCGCAGGGGCCCGCGAGGTGCCGTCCCCTCATGCCATGTCCCTGCCTGTCCTGGGGAACTGGGGGGGAGCAGAGATTCCCAGGGCCTGGCCTACATCTACCGTATTTACCCAAATCCAAAACAGCTTCAAATTTAAGATGACCCCCCGCCAGAATGAGGTTCTAGATGCTGACAATTCAGACACACACTCGAATTCCCCGTGTCTAGAGTCGGGTTACCTGGGGGTCACCTTCAACTATAGCACGGAAAGCAGCAGGGGGTCATATGGCCTGTTCCCTGCCACCTGGATCCCCCCCCACACAGCTTGGCCCCCCAGAGAGAGGGGGCAGAGGTGGCAGGGAGCAAAGGCTGCAAGGGGCAGGTGAGTAGTGGGGGGAAATAGGCATCTCGAACTCCAACCCCAGGCAGCAGGTTGGGGTCGGAGCTTCCCTAGTCCTCGTATCCAAGACAAGGGACATGTTAATGGGGGAAAATACCCTGTCTGGGATTCAAGTAAATATGGTACCTACACATGCATGCACGCGTGGGCAGGGGCATGTATCTGAGGCAGGCTCAGCACTGGGGCTGTGAAGTGCATCCCAAGCACCTGCCTGTTCCCTCAGGCTGCTGCCGTGCTTCAGACCAAGCCACAGACCCGCAGGGCTCAGGCGCAGGTGGGCACATACGGGCTGGCCTCTGAAGGGGCCTCAGCGGATGTTTGCTGCGGGCGGGTTTAGAAAGGGGTGTGACCGAGTCCACGCGTGGCTGCTGTTCCTCCACCACGAGCTAAGGATCATCCCTCCACATGCCAGCACGCCCCGGTAATCAGAGAAGAGAGGGCTTTGGGGACAACCCAGGCTACACGCGTCTCACCTGAATATGCTCTTTTGTCCACGTCCGGCTCACTCACGGCCTGCAAGGAGAGAGAAGGAACAGGAGAGTCCATATCTCAGGGTGAATAAACACCTCTCTGCAGCCTGGGAACCTTGAACCAGACAGCTGGACCCAGGATCTCCTGCCTCAGGAGGACGCGGCACTGAATGGAAACACACCGGGAAACCAGCACGTCTGGTTTCAGGACTGGAGACCAGCACTGGCCGGAAAGCCAATCTGTCTGCAGCTCCACGGCTGCACCAAGGACGTGGCCCTGTCCCTGTCCCTTTGCCCCACAGAGAACCCAAGCCCGACCCCATCCTGCATTACCAGTCTCCTCCAGGGAAGGTCCCGCTTGCATCTGTCGTACCAGGCGAGCAAGGACGTCCGAAAGGCCTCGATCTCAGCTGCGTCGACAAAAAGATGGAAGGCAGACGGCTGGACAGGCGCTGGACAGCTCGCTCCTGCGCACATGCACAGAGATGCCAGTTAGGATCGGGGCCACTGGCTAAAGGGATGGATGGAGAAGTGGGGAAAGAAGGAAAGAGACTTTCCATCTGCCTGGAGAAACCACGAGGACGAAGACGGCAGCGACCACAAAGCCACGCTGGTTCCCAAGGGCTGCGCAGGCACCACCAGGACTCAGCAGGATTCAACCAGCTGCTTCCCAGGCCTCTACGTGCTGCAAACCCCCTCAGGGCCCCTTCCTCCAGGCTCCCATATGCTGAACGCAATCCACTAACCCCTCCACCCACCCAATCCCAAGACGGAAGAGAACCATGAGATTAAACAACAATGAAGCAATTAACACAACACCCTCATCTAGGGGTGCATCTCATCAGAACAAGGCAAAGCTCATCACAACAAAGACTGCTCTGTATGCGCCTTTCATGACCCTCAAATGGCCTTCACTTAGATGAGAGGTGGCCAACCTGGGCACGCCTGCCAAAATGGTCGGCCCCCACTGCCTCGGATAATGCCACTTTGACCCTGTTTGCCGCAGTCAGCAAACAGAGCACGGTACAGCGGCAGGTACTGAAAACAAGGAGCCCCGCAGTACCACTTGCAAGAGAAGAGTGCTCAAGGCAGAGGTCTGAGAAGGCAGGGAGCTGAGCTCCCCTGTGGGCGTTAAAGCAAGACTGTCAAACTCATCCAGCCCGACAAGTGGCATGGGAACAGTTCACGGGCTGGTCGGACGCCGCAGGGCCAGCCCCGCAGGCTGGATCAGGCACAGACGCTCCTCCCCCTGCCCCAGCCCCGCATCGTGGACCCAACATGCACGGTGCCCAATCCGGGGCTCCACTGGGCACTTGGCTGCCACTACAGCAAGATGCCCCACTGCACCCAGCATCAAGGCAAAGTCTGCAGGCTGGATGACCCTGCCCTGCAGGCCAGATCCAGCCCGTAGGCTGTATGCTTGAAGCCATGTGTTAAAGCCAGGTCGCATGACGGGGTACACAATAAGGGTTTACAAACTGTTAAACGGTAATGGGAAAGTCGCTAGGGATTTATTATTGGCTGTCTCTCACCAGACAAGAACGAGGGGCCACAGCCTGAAACCAGCAGGTAGGAAGTTTTAAGCTAACACAAGGCAGCTCTTTATCACCCAGAGAGGCATTAAAGGGGGGACTCGTTGCCACCAGATGTGGGGGAACACAAGAGGCCAGCCGGATTCAAAGGGATCAGACCCGTGCAGGAGCAAAGGCGCATCAGGAGCTATTGAGCAGGGGAGCGAGAGGCACAGCCTCTGCATCAGCCCTTCAGTGCTGGAGGCTGCAAGGGGCAGAGGAATGGGGGGAAACCCTGCTTGGACCCAGTTGTTCTCCCTCCAGCCTCCGCTCTATGCTACGGTGTGACAGGATGCTGGGCAAGATGGCCCTGGGGTCTGACCCAGTCCACAGCAGTTCTTGTGTTCTCATGAGAGCAGGGAATTTGGGGCCAAGCCAGATCAATGCTTCACAGGAGCTGAACTAACCAAGCCAGCATCACTCGCAGGCAGGCTTTGCTGCTATTTGCCAAAAAGGCGACAAGGACACGCTTAAAAGCTGAACTCAAGAAAACAGACACCGACAACAAGAGCTGGGAGGAGCCGAATGACTCCAACGGCGCAGCAACTTCAACCAAGCAGCAGCCTGCTTCCAGGTGAGGCGTCTCCCTGCCCCCCGAAGCAGAGAGGAAAGGAATCCCAGCCTGCTCCCTGTTCTCCCCTGCGGAAAGACCTGCTGCCTCTGCGGGCAGGTCCGTGGCTCAAGGACCAGACTCTTTGGTCACCTCCAGATGCATCCTAGAGGTCACCCTCCAATGGAGTGACTGGTGGCAGCCTGCGTTTGCTGGTGTCCCATCCCAGCCCCTCCAGCACTTCCCAGTACATCACCTCTCTGGGGCACCGCCATCTCCCTGCACCTGCCGGACGATTGCTTCGCTGGCCCCGTGCCCGGCTGCGGCCTGCGCCCAATGCCAGCAGCTGCTGCTCGGAGTCTGCCCATGGCCTGGCTGGGGGCAAAGGGAGGCAGGTGTTAGGGGACGTAGGAGCCCCCCGGGGAACAGCAGTGACACGCAGCCACCTCCCAGGCACCGCAGACCACAGACCATCCACCATGCACTGTGGACCGGGGACCCTGGCCCATGGACCACACACCCTGGCCCGCGGAGCACGCACTGAAGACCATGCACCATGGACCACGCACCGCGGACCATGCACCGCATGCTGTGGACCGTGGACCTTGCGCTATGCACCATACACCGCACACTGTGGACTAGGGGCTGTGGACCACACACCATAGACCACGTACTGTGGACTATGCACCGTACGCTGTGGACCGTGCGCTACGGGCTGTGGACCGTGCGCCCCGGGAAATGAGAGGCTAGCAGCCTCCGGGCCCTGCATACCCCGACGCAGCTCCCGCCCGCACCGAACGCTCCCCCTTTACCCGCACGCTGAATTTTCCCGGGAAAACACTTCCGTGTCGCGGGGACCAATCAGAACCTCCCTCACCGATGAACAGGAGCCGATCAGAACGAGCGCCGGAAGGGCGGAAGAGGCGGGCGGGCGAGTTCTCGTTCCGAGGGGGGAAAGGGCGGGATTAGCGGTGCACTGATCAATCAGCTCTCCTGACAGACGGACTGGCGGGCCAGCCACCAATCAGAGCATTGGATTCCTCCCCGCCCTTCCTTCAGCCACGAGGACCCTGCTGGGGCTGCCCGAGGCAAACGCCTGTCGCGTCCAAACGGCGCCGAGCGGGGCGGAGACCCGGCGTGCGGGCGCCGAGCGGGGTCGTGGGCCGAGGCCGACCGCGAAAGGGTGGAGCGGGCCGACTGGGCACTTGCGCGGGCAGCCCCGACGCGACGGCAGAAAGGAAGGACCCCGAGCGGAATGCCCCGGAAGTGGTAGCATGGTGGCGGTCTGAGCGCGGTGGTGGCGGCCTCGTGAGTCTGCGCCTCCCAGGGCCCTCGTCCGCGGTGCGGGGGAGAAGGCCCCCCGGGGAGGTTATCCCGGGAGGCTGCCTGCGCACGACCTGAGCCCCACACGTGCGTCCCGGGCAGGGCGAGCGCGGCGGGACGATGCCCGGCTGGCGGGTGCCGGTGGTGGACGTCCAGAACGACAACTTCAAGGAGCTGTGGCCCTCCATGCTGCTGGCCGTGCGCACCTCCAGCTTCGTGGCCGTGGACACGGTGAGCGGCTCCTGGGTGGGAAGGGGTGAGCCCACGAGCGGGGCAGCCTGCGCCGTCCCCCCGCCCCCCAGCCGGGTCCCGTCCCATCCCGCCCCCCCGGTGCAGTTTGAGGTGGTCGGGAACCCGCCCCAAAGGTATTGCCGTAATTCTGTGTGATAACTGCGTGGCCCGTTCCGTGTTTTATCCGGATGTTCATTGCGTTTAGCGTGTGGCCGGGTCGCTATTTCAGGGGCCTTCCCGAGGGCCTGGTGGGGACCCTGAGCTGCCTTTTGGGTTTACAAAATGCAGCAGGTGGGACCTGCCTCCAATGAACGCCAGACGTGGTATTTCTTGGGCGAGGCCCCAGCTCCATCTGACCCGGTGTCATGCATCATGGGGCAGCTGGCAGGGAGCGACCTGGATCCCAGCAGGGTTTTCCCCTGCTCCCCCTCGCAGCCTCCAGCCCTGCAGGTTTAGGAAGCGGAGGCCGTGCCCCTCAGTCCTGAGACCGTGGCCGATCCCTTTGTGAATCTCAGCTTCCACTGCGTCTGGTGGCCACCAGTTCCACACGCTGTGCAAAAACCAAAAAAGTAGTGTTAAGTAAACTTCCTGCCCACTGGTCTCACGTTATGACCCCGAGCTGTACTGCGAGGGAGAGTAAACAATAAATCCCTTTTGATGAAGAAGAGTTTTCTTCATACAAAAATGTCTGAGGGCTCAGAGTGGAGCTGGGTCTCTGATTCACTGCTCCCTGACCGTTGTGGGAAGAAGCTGATCTTCCTCTTCGCATCAGGCTTTGGAGGAGATGGCACAAAGCCGACTAATCCAGTCTTCCCTCTCTGCAGGAGCTAAGCGGCCTCGGAACGAGGAAAAGCCTGCTAAACCAGTAAGTAAGTGGCTGCCACCCCGGGATGGAGCAGTATGGGTTGTTCTCATCCATTTTCACACTGGTCCTGAAACACGGCCTCTCGAGGCTTGGGTATGGCAGGGTGATCAGGTGACTCGGTACCAGATGCTTCATGCCTTCCCCTTGATGCCAATCTGGGTTCCTCATCTCCTTTGGTCTGTCTGACTGAGGCTGGGGGCTCTGCTCATTCTGGAAATCATCCAGGCAGAGCGAGGTGGGAGCAGAGTTGAGGCAGGAATGGGAGATGAATGGCACCAACCAGCACCTGGCACTTGTCCTGTACTTGCCCAACTGCAGGGCTGGGGCTGGGGCTGGGGC